TTCAACAACTGAGGCATCAAACATTAGTAACAAACTGCTGTGATCCAACCTGGTAGGCAGCTAAACAGCACACAGCCACTTGCTAACTGCAAGTGAGCATCAGTGCATTATCACCATTATCCTCATCCTCAATCTGAGCACAGCATCACACCAGCTACTTGGAAGAAGGTCAACTCTATCTCAGCCAAAAAGAGGACACAAACTAAGCACCTTACCATTTTATTTCCTCCTCTAATGAAAATGGTCACAGCTCTAGAATTCTGACACTGTTCAATGACGAGCATCCTGTCCTTTGTTGTTCCAAAGGAGATCTCTCGGACGATACCAGCAAACCCCAGCTTCTCTGGTGTGAGTTCACAGAAGCGAGGAACAATGCGCCCTCCAGTTGCAATGGCAATTAACTAAAATTAAACAACCATCAATTATTTTGAGAAGACTTCTCCATAGTGCTTAAATAGTATAAACGAATCTATCAAATGCCTCCAAAGTTACATTCTCATTGCCTCAGTCAAAGGGCAGATTTCAGGCAATGCCTTGTTTCTACACACACTAAGACTGAAAGGAGAAGCAATTCCAGCCACATAAAACCTGTAACAGGCAATACGCATGGACATCAATAATAGACTGTAACCCCAATAATCCTAGGTTCTTCCCCTAGATCTTCTCAGTGATTTTGCTCCAATATTTACCAATATCACACCTCATTATGCAGTTCTACCTAGAAAGCCCACACTTTTAATTGGTACAGCACTACACAACAAGCTGGTTGTATAATATGGCAGTATAACACGAGGACTGGTGCAAATCCCGGTTTCTGAAGATTTTACTTACTTCTATTTCAGGTCCACCAACCCAACGAACAGCAGGCAGCTCGTTCTGGAGCAGCAAGTGGTTTGCCTCATCATCAAAACCCCACTGGCAAATAGCAAGGTTTGCACCAGTGTCTTTTATCTGAAATCAACACACAACAATCTGCTGATCAGCACTAACACAGAAAGGAAGACAAGTTTAACAGTTTTAATTGCACTTTTCTCAAAATAGAACTCTCTGAAGAAGGCACGTACCTGTATAACTGGCATATACAGAATTGAAAGTACATTTCAAACTAGAGTGTTATCTATTACTTCCATAAACTTAACTTTCACTCACAGCCTTACAATTCCTTGTATGCTGCCTCTTATCTGGATTAGTAGCTCATTTGCAGAAATAAATCAATGCATTATGCTGTTTTGTGTAAAGGCTATGAAAAATTACAGAACAGAGAAGTAACATTGAACACTTCACCTGTTTCACCATTTCTTCAAACTTCTCCTTCTCGTACTTCTGCAGTGCCTTGTAATCTTCCACAGATGTGACATCAAGCTTATGCTTGGTTTTGGGCTTAGGTGGTTCAAATGGACAAGTAAGGATTGCAATTTTAGCATCTTTGAGCTCCTGTACATTAACATAAAATAAAATAAAATTAAAAGGTTGCACAGTAACACCTCTTTTATTTGCACAATACACAAGACATTGTTGTTAAAAAGGGAGAGACAGAAAGAACCTTGAAGATCACTTGACTCTTTCTGAAGTTTTAACTAACAGCCACACACTTCTATAAAAAATCTAACTAATTCAAAAGAAATTCCACAGCTTCAAGACACTGTTTAAGCACTCAATCTTTACCAGTTATTTTAAGTATTAAATTATTTAAAAAAAAAAAACAAAAAAAAACCTCCTACCTACTGTGACCATTGAAAATACTACTTCTATGGTGTTCCAAACAGGACAACACTCCAACTCATAGAGTGTAACAGTACAAGCTTCGTGGTACTGAGTTGCGTTAAAAATCAGTACACTAACATTTGGTTCTCAATTCTAACACAGTTCTTTGCATTACTCTCTACAAAGGACTTGCACTCTATGCTTGTTCTCACTTCCTTGTGCAGTAATCATCTCCCCAATCACTTCTCAAGACACTTGTGAATTCTAAGTTGGTCCTGTCCAACGAAGAATAATACTCCTCTTCCCTTCCTCTGTTGATACATGAGTGAAGCAACAAGTTTAAATGCTGCAATGCTAGAACAGCATTTTTGGTCTATTTCTATGCAGAATCATTCAAACTGTTACAGATGACAACCAGAGTGTTCACTTACTTTAGGCATCTGCGGATGACTGAAATCTTTATCCACAATCACTCCTTTAACCAGCTGCGTATCTTCCAGTCTACCTCCCACTTTGCCTTGCACTTTGATCAGCTCAAAATCAACATCTTTACGTTCCATATCTGCTACTGTCAGTACAGCATTCACAGCAATTTCTGCCATTTGTCTGTGACAGCGGTTAACTCTAAATAAAAGAGTACAAGGAAGATGTGTTACATGTATACAGTTCAGAAGAAAGAAATTGACTCTGTCAATATGAAATATAATATATGTGTGTATATATATGTATGTGCAGATACATATATATATATACATATTAGTATTACTAATAGCTTGTTTGCTGTATGAAGAGAGGGCGTCCTGCTCACTGGTTCACCTGAACATGCCAAACATGACAGAAACCAGAACACATGTCTTCATGAACACAATTGCAAGACACAGATTTGAAACAAGCAAGGAGAACTAACTACTACTCAAAATACTCTAGTCCCAGAAACCAATGTTAAGACAGGTCTGCACAGGAAGCTCTTACAACATGTCAAAAGATACTGCAATCATAAACTGCACTTTGCAAAAACAGGCCCACAGTAATTAAAAATGAGAGACATCCCTCTCTGTACTTTTCTGTTTTAACTCTCTCTCATGCGTTTCCTATAATTTTAGGTATTAACTCCACAATATCTTAGAAAGCTAATGCCCAAAGAAAGACAGACAAAAACTGTCCCAAGAAATAAAACTGGGAAATGACACTGATGCTCATTTACTCCATACTATATAGCAAATAAACGTTACAGTACAAATGGAAAGCTCACTTTCACCCCCAAGATCTTAATTTAGATTTGTATATTTTAATAAAAATGCACTTATGGAACCAGTAACTACCACTACATGTCTTTTTGGGTAAAGAGAGAGAGAGAACAAACAGGTAGCTAACTTTTACACAGTTTGCACTTGCTATGATGCACAAACACAGAATAAAATAGGTAGAATGAAATTGATTTTGCAGCTGTTTAACTTAATGGAGTTGCCCCTTTAGAGAACAAGGGTTTCACAGTTTCTTATCCTGAGATAAGAGTCCATTGAGAAAGCAGCCAAAATCAAAGAAACATTAAAGAGCAGGCACTCTAGTAATAACTTAATAATTCATCAAAGCATCAAGGATTTCTCCTTTCAACTTAAGTGGAAAATATAAGTATTTGTAAATTTTCATGTATGTATGGAAAATATAAACATTTGTAAATATTCTCTAAGGTTTTGTGAACTTACACTTTAGAGCCTAGCGTTGTCTTGGCTGTCTGGATCAGAGGCTCTATGTTCTGTGGGTCAACTGGAAAGCTGTCACTGATTTTGTCGAGATGCTCAATAGCAATGCGAGCTGCCTGCTCGTAACCATCCGCTATTCTGATGGGGTGAATACCACGGTCCAGCAACTGCTCAGCCTGTTCCAACAGTGCTCCAGCCAGAACTGTAAAACAAAATTTTTAAATAACGTTCACTCTCGCACAGATGGAGGCATCCTGTATTATACATTATCAAAAGCTTAAGAAGTATACTTTTGGATTTATTCTGCAGTACCAGTGTGAGGTTTATTAGGTAATAATATCAGTAATAATAATACCATCAGTGCCCTACTTACTGAGAAAGAAGACTGCATTGAGACTGTACAAGCACAGGAGACACTAAGATCATTACGGAAGAAAATTATGCAAAGAGTTCTGAAAGTACAAAGAGGCCTTCCAACACTAACTTCAAATGCTGCCATACTTTAAGAGAGACACAAAAGCACCTTTTGGATTAAAAAAACTCCTAACAGATGAACTAAAAAAGAATACTGACGCAGTAAATACTCTAAAAACGTGCTTCAGAAAAGCCTCTGTCACTCTATAAGTGATTTCTTAAAATAGTTTAAGAAACTTGGCTTTAAAACTAGAAATGCCAAACTAAATGTAAATCTTTTCTTACCAACGACTCCTGTAGTTCCATCCCCAATCTCATCATCTTGAGATTTAGACAGCTCCACCATGAGCTTGGCAATCTGGTGGTCCACATCCATCATATTCAGGATGGTAGCGCCATCATTGGTTACTGTCACCTCACCATCTTTGTCCACCATCATTTTATCCAAGCCTGAAAAAGACAGAACGTGAGGACAAATCTAGAAACCCCTGAAAAAAACATTAGTAAGTAGAAATAATTGAAGTGATTTATTACCGTTGGGCCCGAGGGATGTTTTCAGGGTATTTGCCACAGCCTTTGCTGCCATTATGTGAGACTATAAAAGAATGGAAAAGTTAAATCAGTATTTTGCGTCCACAAATAGCAGTATTAAGCTAAGATATATAGAGAAAAACTGTTATATTGTGGTAGTTAAGTATTGCAAATGTTATTTTAAGTAGGAATAGAGAACTATGACTGGAAAAAGACCTACACATGCACATGGCTTTTAGGTTAGGTATTTCACGAGCCTTTTTGTCACATATAGAGGTAAGGCTGATAGAAGAACAACTCACTCGCACGTTTAAGGCTCAGAGAGGAACACCGAGCGCACGGCTCCCCCCGGCCGCGTGTGGCGGCCATCCCCGGCAGGGCCCCGCCGCCGCCTGCCGCCCCCTCCCCCGCTCACCTTGAGCGCCTCCAGCCCCATGAGGCGCGTCTTGCGCTCCTGGTCCTTGAGGATGAGGAAGGGCCGCCCATACTCATCAAACGCCAGCGTCCCCATGGCCGACATGGCTGCGGCGGCTCCCAACGGCCCCCAACCGCTCCCAACGGCCACCCAAGCACGAGCCGCGCCCGCCCCGCACGCCGCGCCGTGACGTCACGCGCTCAGCCCGCCGGCGGCACCGCGCATGCGCACAGGGCCACCCCGCGACACATTTCGCGGGGGGGAACTTGTGTGGCGCCCGCCGCGGAGCTTTCTGGAAGCGGCCGGGGGGCTCCGGGCGCTGCGCGGCGCTCGCGGCCCCGTCCATCGGCGCGGCGCCGGGGGGGGGGTGGGGATTGCGATTAGGCGCAATTCGGGCGCCAGGCGGGCCGCAGCGAGGTGACGGGAAGAGAATAAGGAAGGACAGCCCCGCTGCCGAAGGGTGCCGTGCGGATCTGCTCTTCAGCGTGTGCGGAAAGGTGCTCGCCCTCCTCCCTTATCCCCCCCGCCGTAGAGGGGTGGTAGGGTCCTTCTCCATAAATACGGCCGCCGGTGGTGGGGGTCCCTCATTGTGGGGTCGGTGGGGTGGGGAAAGATGTCTTTTCCTCTTTTTCTTAATGAGCAATAAACCTAGTACCTCAGCCTCTTATATGCAATAATTTAACTTTTTTTAAGCTATTAGAATCAAATGAAGTGTTTAAGCACCTCCCTTGCATTACACGTGTCACATCATAATATTTTGCCCGTTAATCCCTCAGTGAAGCCATCCCCCTGTTAATCTTTGTCCGCAGGCATGGCGTCCAAAGCACTGGTGGCCGAGAGCCCCGCTCCACTCGCGCAAGGAAGCCCTGAGGAGCCCTCCAGAAGAAGGCAGTGGGGGCTGCTGGCCACGGGCGCAGTTGGCGGGGTGCTGGTGGCCCTGTACGCCGTGGTCACCCCCTTCCTGGTGCCGGCCCTCAGGAAGGTCTGCCTGCCCTTCGTCCCCGCCACCTCAGCGCAGATCCAGAATGTCCTGAAAATGTTGCAGGGCAGGAGCGGCTCTCTAGCTGACATTGGCAGCGGGGATGGCCGTGTTGTAAGTTACAGACGTCTCCTTCCTTCTCTACCTCAGAAAAGCAGCAAATACTCCACTCCTGGCCTCTGCTTTGTCATATTTACAAACGTTTTCCTTCACACCCATTGTATTTTACCAAGCTTTATGCAAAGCCTGAGAATGGTTTACGTTTAGTTTAGGTGAACAATCGATAGTTTTGTTCCTGCCTTACTCTCAGCTTGACAAAGTAGCATCCCAAATCATAACCTCATCTTGTCGCTTGGGAGGCATTGCACTGCGTTCACATAAAAAGATGTAATTAAAGGATTGGCACTGTGTTTTCCAGAGAGCTGTATTCCACATAGGTTTATAGCTGCAGCATGTGAGGCTGTGAGCTTAAATAACCCTCTGCTTTTGGAGCTGCAGCTCTATGATTACTGCATAAAAGTGACAGAAGAACAAAAAAAGATGAGAAAGGAATGATGGATTACAAAAATAAATATCATGGTATCATTAAAACTGTAGTCTTAATGCCATTGTACACTGCTGGCTGCCCCATTTCAGCATGAATGTGGTAAACCAGAGCCACTGCAAAACTGAATGGTAGGAAACAACTGTGGAAAGACTTCTCTACTCTCAGCAGACTTTCAATACAGAAGCTAGTTCAAGGCTTTTTCTGTATGGAAATTAGGATAGAGGACAGGCAAATTCACTGGCTTCAAATGTTTTTAGTATTGTAACACCTATTTTTCAGTGTCAGTTTCTGGTCTTTATCATTATGTGGCAAAGTTAGGATTCATCCAACCCACTGCAAAATTATTTTAAGATTGAACTCAACAGCTTGCTGTGGAGTTTTGGGGCAGAAATAGATTCAAAATGAAGTTAGGGAGGTCTGGGGGAAAATTTTTAGGTAGCCAAAGTGATGCTGTCCTTTCAGAGCATTGCCCAAACCTTCCGTTTGTCAAAAGTGGTGGTGAGGGAGGAACGCTGCAGAGAATAGTATTTTTTTTTTTGTAGTTGTGGTGCTTTGGGTACTATTTTTAAAGCACCTGCATAAGAGGATGGTGCATTAAGTGGGTTGTTGATGGAAACAAGCCAGATCTTTCTTGAATACTGCCATTGTCCATATTTCATGTGAACGATTTGACCATCTGTCCATGCTGCAGTTGGAGATCCAAATCTGTGAACAAATTGCACCTAAGTAAGACCTAGGGAAAAGCAAGCACATAGGTACAAGAGAACTGCAATTTCTGATGTCCTCTCTACTCAGCATTCTGGCTCTTGACCCTTATCCGAGACAACTAATTTGACTAGTTACTGCATATTTTATTCCAGTTCCATATATATCTACATATGTAGGCACCTATATATATACATATCTATAAATATACATGTGTATGTATGCACATTAGTGCCTAAATGGAGACTGAAAGCTGCTTGGAGAGCCAGGTGCCCAAAATTGGATGCTCAGTGTTGCCTTAATGCATCTGTATTGAAAAAAGTTGAGCTTCTGTTCACGTTTGTAAATATTTAGCACTTACACGGTGTATTCTGTGGACAAATATGAACATATTTTATTTTCAAGCATGGTGCATGGTGAAAATGTCAAAATTCTTTTACTATATTTGAAAATATGGTGTGTGTGATGCAAGGAGCGTTATTTTAATACTGTGCAGCACATTGTGTGATAATGCTGTTTGAGATGTTGTATTAAAAAATGTGTACTTCTTCCTGATTCTACCTTGCCTGCAATTCATAGCTGATGAGGCTTTTCCTGATTAAAGCTTGGCAGTAACCTTTTAAATTATGTCTCAGCCCTAGATTTTAATATTTCTAAAAATTAGTGTGCTGTTTTGGTTTGAAGTTTCCTTAAAAATAAAAATAATAATAAAAGCTTTGATTTAGTTAGAAGACATTTGCTATACAGCGTAATGATTCTGAATATTAAGGTGTGATTTGAGGGAGTATACTTGATACATTTTGTTAACTGAATTACCTTTTGCCTTTTCAAAATTATGTGTGAAGTTTAACATTAGATAAAAGATACACTTCGAGGTTTGCTCTGTGATTTTTTTTTTCTTTAATTTTTATTTTTATGGATGTCAACAAATTGGTTTCACAGACTTTCCATTGATAGGTCATTTTGGCTTTGATGCAGGGATCTTTCAACTGCCTTACCCTTCACTGCTTCTCAACTAGGTTGAATGCTCTAATTCTGAGCATATCTGCTTATGTGTTTTACTGTCTGCAGGGTCAGTTTTGGTACTCTTGAATTCTAAGGTAGTGTCATGAATATGTTAAATTAAACTTTTATGTGAGCTGTAGACATAGTACAAGCTTACAGCTTTGTCCTGTGAACGTTTAAGTGGTTAATTTTGTTTGTGTGAATATCAATTTCAACAGAAGTAGTCACAATAGCAAAATATAATCTGAATTTTTGTTTGCTATACTACCATTCTCTTAGGAATTAAAAACTGATTACTTCCAAATGTGCGTTCCTTTGACGTGTAAATAAAATTCTGTCCTTTCTCCTGTTTGGATGAATATACCTTTTAGCACTCTCTCTCTGTTTTTAAGTGAAGATTTCTTCTCTTCCTTGTAGGTGATAGCAGCTGCCAAAATGGGATTCAAAGCTGTTGGTTATGAGTTAAATCCCTGGCTAGTCTGGTACTCCAGATACCGTGCCTGGAGAGATGGGGTACATCACAACACCAAATTCTATATCTCAGACTTGTGGAAGGTAGGTGCTGGAGTACCTAAGAATGAATGGGAGATTTCCATAGTTCAGAGATACTTTCTTGGAAGAATTGTATTTGTCTGGCCACAAGATGCTGTACTGGGCTTTGAGAAGAGTGCTTACAGCATAGAAACAAGGCTCACTGCACGTTTACAATGCTCTGCTGGTTTTGTGCTGTAGTGTCTTGCTGTGCTTTTCCAGTACAGATTTTCTGAGCATACTACATTGTACTTTTGCCAGTTGAATGATGTGGGCTACTGTAATGTCAGGCTTCGCTGAGAGCTACTTCTGTGGAGTTGGTAACAAGTCTCTTGTTCACCTAATGTGCAAGAACGCTGTCTTGTGGTATTGCATTAGATGTGTGTTCTTCTGTAGCTGTGCAGTATGTTACCTGATTCTTAGTGTTGCTTCAAGCTGTTTTTTTCAACGTGCATTCATTTGAATGAAAATTGCATCTTTAATGAGACTTACTTTTTGCTATATTTATGTTTGTCTCCCCCCAGCTATTCCCATCAGTCTTTTTTCTTTAAGTAGCATTTTGTAAAGAGTAAAGTGGATACAAAGAATTGGTAAAAAGTGTGAATATACTCTTTTTTTCTCTTTATTCAGGAGAGGTGTCTTGGAAAACTGGGCACTGACTAGAAGAACCCAGGCATTGCAATGGGAAGCTCCAATAACTAACATTTAACAAGATGGGGCAAACTTAAAGCATATCTTATGTTAACATATACAGGAGTTGAGGGAAAACATAACAGTGAATAAAATCATATAGTGTTTTCTAAATTGATTTTCTTCGTGCTCCTGAAATTGGAGCCGTATCCTTGACCAGGCAGTAGTTTTCTGTTACTCAGCAGAATAAAGTTGTCTGTATGTGGAAGTTTGTGTGATGAATACTTGATATTGGATCTCCTTCCTTATTTTTGGTCTAAATCCCTGTTCAAAGGACTGTATTTAGAAGGTTCAGGTGAGAATGGTGAGAACTTCTCCAATTAGAGTGCTCATTTCTTTAAGGCTTTTTTTCTTTTTTTTTTTCAGGTTTCTTTTTCCCATTATACAAATGTTGTTATTTTTGGGGTACCTCAAATGGTAAGTTTTATTATTTTTGCACAGTTATTTTAATACCAACATACTCATCTGCAAAATAAATCAACTTACAAAATGTCAAAGGTAGTACTAATAATATTTAGGTATTTCATCGTTGGTTATTAATGTCCATGATAAAACCTGGTAAAACTTGTGATGGTGTGCAGACTGGAGCTCTAAAAGCATTCCTGGATGGTGGCGGTGGTAGCATTGTATTTAGCATCAATTAGTGAAGTTCAGAATCAAAATGAAAACTGACGTACTTAAGTTGCCTTGAGAAGGTGATAGATCAATTCTTGAATATTTCAGGTTTTCATACTGGGAAAAAAAAAAAAAGTATGTTTGCAGGGAGAGGAGGGAGTAAGAAACTGGCTACAGCTGCTTTTCTGTGAACTTGTCAATGGAAGTTACTGAACTTTTGTTAGATTATCTAAAAATGGGATGACCTCAAATTAGGCTAGTAGCTAGCATTCTGAAATAATTCCTTGCTCATTTTAGACTGTGAGAGTTTTAGGAAGGAAGACAAATACTTCAAGTGTAATTGCTAGAGAACAAGTGTACAAATTTCTTTGCTTTTTAGGAGGGCTTTGTAGCTTATGTTCGTCGTGTCCCATGGGTTCTTCAAAATTGCTGTAGATATTACTGCATAGAGACTATTTTGGTATATTAGATAAAATCAGTCAGGACTTTGACTTTGACTTTTGGCTTTATCTAGTTTTTCTTTTTTACTGCAGAAGAGAAAAAATATATTTTCTATATTTATCATTAGAAACTTCTATATATGTTGAACGCGTATGGAGAAGTGAAATGGAAATATATAAATGCTTCCGTACTGCTGCTTTTTTTATTTTTTTGTGCTAGGGCAGATGTGGGATGAAGTGGAGTGAAGAGCTTTACGTGATGCTATACTGTGCAATATGCATTGGTGTGGTAGTAACAGGAAGACACAACAAGAAGCATAATGATGTTTCCTTACTCTCTGATTTTTCCTTTATTAGCATTGGAATTAAAATACCTACTTCAGATTCACGTTGTAACTCGTGGTGAGAACTGAAGTGAAGATGCGTTTTTTCCTACTTTTCTGGTGGCGTATTAGCGAGAGCTGTTGCAGTGCTCGTGCTGCAGATGTTCCCAGGTTTGAATGCTGCGTGTTCTCTGGCCTGGATTCCAGGAGGGGGCAGTATGAAGATTTGAATCTGCAGTCACAAAGTCTGCAGTTGCACCAAGAGCACAAGTGCAAGGGAAGAAAGATATTTCAGTAAACTAAACAAATGCCCTAGGAGAATGTCAGCATGATTAGTTGAAAAACTGGCTGAATTTTAAAATTAGCTATTTTACCCCATTTTTATACTACTATGATAGAAAGAGTACCCTTTAGTCTCAGAATAACTTCAGTAAATTCAGCAAATATTAGTCTTAATTCTTCCAATAAAATACTGTCATAAATGTAACAGACCCAAACGTAGGAACTACAAAGTGTCCTGAGAATTAATTTGCTCATAATGTTCTTTCAATTTACTTTCTATGTTGTGAATGCTTAGTCTCCTGAATGACTAAATTGATTTTCTAGAAACTCTTAATGCATTTTCTCTCTCTCTTTTTTTTTTTTTTTTTGACTGAGGGCAATAAATGTCTTTAGCTTTTATAGTAATAGTGGTCTGGTTTGATGTTGTCACACTGTGCTTTTATTTCACATCCAAGATTAGCTAACAGAACTGGGATGTATTGATCTTTAGTGAAGACTCTGAGACCTCTCTGTTCTTGCAAGCATCTGGGGGAAGATGTGTTTATCAATGAGTCATTGCAGAGAGACTTTTACTTGCTCGGGGTGGGATGACAGAATTTTTACCAGGTGTTCATGTTCACAACTGCAGTTGAATTTTAACTAAATATGTCCTGTACAAAAGTTTTTTACTAAGCTATTTATCTATATAGATGTAACAAATAAAATCTGAATGATATAAAATATAGTATGGTTATAACACTTAATGTTACTGAGAGATTTAGCTTAAAACCACTTTGGGTTTGGTTCAAGAATGCAGTTGCTTTTGGCTGAGCTGTTAATGAAATCTTCTAATTTGAGACATGAGATACCACTGTTTTTCATAATTACTCAGTAAAGATTAGGCTAGGTCCATGTTTGTGGACTGTATTAATTGCTATAACAACTTAGTCCTGTCTCTTCTGGTGTATTAGTTCAGTTTGAGATATGAAATTGGGCTTATTTTTCTCATTTATTTAAGCAAAAATGTTTAAAAGCATTTGCTGTATGGAATAAATCAGAGCACAGAATACTTAAAGGCATTCATAGATCTAATATACCCATGAGTTACCTCTGAACAATTTTCCTAAAATATCCCATTGTAAGCTTAAATTTAGCTATAGTGGGATGGAACATCAAAGGTAGGCCCTGCATGTATGTGAGAGTTCAAGTTAGCTTTAGCCTTTGAAAACGTTTTTGAAAGCCAATCTTGTTTTCTAATGTGTTCTGTATTTTTTGGTTTTAAATTTTTGTTTATCTTGTGTCCTTCCTGACTTAAATTGAACTGTATTTGTAGATAATTACTATCCTTTCAACCTTTTAATAGTTAAATGTTCTGCCACAATATCAAAGTATAAATATTTTAATTTTAGAGCTCGCTGCTATAATTACTCACTGAGATAGATATCATTTGTCAGAAGGAATTCCAAATGGATGTGCAGTGATCTACTGAAGCATAACACCCGATTTTTGCAAAGGACAGAAATGGATGGATCAATGCAGCATCCTCCCAGCCCCCAATATAACAGCAATCTGGGGGCTGGAAAGAAAATAGATGTGTTAATTCATTTCTCGCTTAATCCATAGAGGCATTTTTGGCATACTTATGGGAGATAAAGTGCCTGGGCAGAGTGTTGCTCAGTTCTGGAGGGGTAATGATATTTCCTGTAGCAAAAATTGAGGTGATACAAAAGCCAGTGGAGGAAGGTTGTACAGAGCAGGTCTCCAACCAAGGCAAGCTGTAGGGTGGTTTGTGCTGTTTCACACAGTGCTGTGCGGGGACTTAGGTGTTTGTGTTAATAGTCTGGAGCCAACAAAGCACAGTTCCAGTGCTGTGTACCACGCCAGTACTTTCTCATACAGTGAGAGCAGAATGCTTGCTTTGGTTTGCTGACCAAATGTGGGGTTTTGAGCCTCCCAAGATATGTCTTGGCGTTAGACTGGAAATCATGAGAAGCATCAGCCTTTGAGTATCACGCGACTTGGTGTTATAAATTCTATACATTTGGGATGCTAAACTCTAACTGTCTGCAGGGAAGAATCTCACTGAAGAGAATAACGAATTAGAACATGCAAAGTCTTGCCTTAATGTGGTTGTGTGTGTGTATTTGCTTTTGTTTTTTAAACTAAAGGTTTATCTACTGTAATTTAATTTTAAAGACTTAGTTACAGTTGTAGTGATCTCACTGGTCAGGGCACAATAACCATTTTCTAGTTTTAGATACTCTTTGTCAATGCATCAAACCAGAATGTATCAGGAATACTTCCTATTTTTTTGAAATATTCCTCAAACCTTGGACTTGTCTTCGACACTTAAATTAGAGAATGTTTCTGTTTTGTACTGTTCCTGAAAGTTTTTTGTTGCTGCTCCACAGATGCCACAGTTGGAGAAGAAACTCAAAGAAGAGCTTGAATCTAATGCCAGAATCATCGCCTGTCGTTTTCCTTTCCCTTGCTGGATCCCAGATCATACTACAGGAGAAGGAATAGACACCGTTTGGGCCTATGATTTGAAGAGTCCTAGAGGAAGCGAAAGTAAATGCTTAGAAACAACACCAGCAGCAGAATCTTAAACATCTAATGTGTTCATGTACTGAAATTTTCAGCTTTGACTTTACCAGCTGGAAGATGAGATTAGCATGAAATGGAGACCAGGATTTTGAGGTGTATATTCTCTAAAATAACTGAAGTACATTGGTTATCTGAAAACACAAAAAGGTTTAGTTAAAGGACTTGGTGTGTTTAGTAAAAGTATTGGAAAGTGTTACAGAATCAGAAAACTTTAGTATAGAAAACAGGATAAAACAGGGTTCAGTACTGTTATGGGAAGCATGTGTGAGTTCAAATGCTCAAATTGGCTAGCGTAAAACCAGAGGTCATTTGGTCCAAGCCCCCTGCTCAGGCAGGGCCACCTGAAGACAGCTTCTGAGTATCTCCAAGGAGAAAGCCTTTGCTGCACAGTGACTATGTAAGTTTGTCAGACCTCTGCACAAGTGCTGTCTGGAGATCTAAGCTTGAACAAGTTAGGGAGTTGCCACCTGACAGCTAGGCGGTTGTTACCATACCTAAAATTAGCTCAGGCCAAGAGAAGCAGAGAAATGCTGCTCTTGGGTCAACACAAACCCTGTGACATTTCATTAGCAGTTACAAAAACATGTTTCTTGAGTTTAAGGTATCTGACTTGAAGAGAAGCTGGTTGTTATTTGGGATGTGTAGCTACAGGTATACTTGTCCTCGAGCTTTTTCGTGTGTGTGTGTGGGAGGGGAGGAGGAAGGAGAATGTGAAATAAAATCCTCACTGAGGAGATGAAATGACGCAGTAGATTTTTTTTTTCTCCTTATACTGTATACAAAACAGGAGAAGAAAGGGGCAGATGTATCCTCAGGAGTCTGCGAAAGGAGAGATTATTTCAGCCTCACATATGGCAAGGCACAGCTGTGAGCACTGGGGCTGTATGTCCTGAAGAACACTGATTACTAGTAAACCATCTTTTACAGCATTTCACTGCTGTGTAGCATAGTGGGTCTTGTAAAACTACACTAAACTCTTTCCACCACGATCTAAGAGCTATAAATACTACACAATGATAGGACTGAGCTACAGTGGCTTATCTGAATGTCTGCACTTACTTTAATATCCCAAGGCCATAAAGCTGGAATCTTGGACAAAGGAAGTCTGAAAATATTTCCACCAAAAAGATGGTACAAAAGGGGATGTTGGGTAACTAAGCCAAGAGTCCTTCCCTGAATGTTTATAAAGGAGAAGAGGCAAAAATTTTGGTAAATTGTGACTCATCTGCCATGCAGTGCTTTCAGCCAAGTTTCTACTGCTTGCTTTTACCAATGGTCACTAAAGTTAGTTTGCAAGGAATGAAGTAGATATTTGTTTTCCTTTTTGTTTGGCTATATATTTGCATATATATATTGCATTATCAGTTATTTGTCTTTTAAAAAGGAAATCTGAATTTCTGAATTGTACATGTAAAGACTTTGGAGCGGGCTTCTTAGTTACCACCTGTGGCTCCAGAAATACCTGTTAAGGAGGGCGAGATAAGGAATTAATGACTTGATGGCCTGAGCTTTAGGAACACTAAGTACAGTTCTCAAGGCAAGGAGAAATTTATGATGGCTCTTAAAGTGAAGCAGAAGGCTGTTTCTTACTCTGGACATTTACCTTTTGTTAAGTGTCTCTGCTGAAGTATACAGTGGTCCGTAGGTTTTTATTCCTTATTACATAGAGGAATGCAGTGCGTTTCCTGCTTCCATGGCTGAAGTGTAAAGCAGAAAGCAAGCTACTCTGCTTTACACAGGAGGATTGGGAAAGCGCTTTTTGTCATGTCATCCTCAATTTTCATGATCACTCGTGTTGGTATTTAATCAAGTAAACTATCAGAGGAGCACAACTGTGGCTTCAGTTATCACTGTATAGATTATTATCTTGATACATTTCCAATTGCTCAGGTGATTATGATTTCATTGATGTGCTGCTTCGAAGTACACATTTGTTACTTATGGAAACCAAGAAAGCCATAGAGAACTGGCTTAATTAAATTACAGCACAAGTCTGAAGCCACAAGAAGGAAACCCCCAAGCTACACTGCTGTTCAATACCGAAGTAATTCAGATACACAGGAAAAAAACAAAACAACAGTAGTTTATCTTTGTTTGCATCTTCTAGTAGAATGACTTGACTTTTGGGAGCCACTTGTTTCATCCTTTCCTCATGCTGCCAGATCTTAGCAAAAAAAGCTGCTACATTTCTGAAAGAGTAATGCTTTCCTGAAATCCTGTAGAATTTGATCTGTTTGAAAACAAAATGGATTGGAGTTCTTTTGGACTTGGACTTTCAAATTATTTTTTATTTATTCTTTGAGGCATGTCGTGTCCCCCATGGGCTTCGTGGTGCAAGATCAGTTGCACCGATGCTCCTATTACATAATCTTGTAGTTTTCTATTTGACACGAATTGACTTTCTAGAGAGAAGGACAGTGGTATGGTTTCAAGAGAGCCATCCTATATTGCAGGTCGCTCAGTAAGTACTGCACAGTCAGTATAACTACATAAGTCTCAGCTAAGCTTGCCCAGAATTGTTTGTGAAATATACACGTATTTTATGAGTTTTGGGCATTTCTGTGTTAGTAGGTATATTGAAGTTCTTGATTTACCCTCTGGAGTCTGATTATATGCTGTCATTTAATCTAACACTACTCCAAGGAAGCTAAGCCTCTGTCTCTGCGCTGCTGTTTGTTTGTGACTCATGAGTTGTAACCAGGTAGGAAAATAAGGAATCAAATTTAAAATACACTACCACATTCCACAAGGCTGCTTGAATGAGTATGGTTGGTGTGAAAACACTTCGAGAGCTCAGGCTTAGGGAAAGCCTTTAATGAAGGACACATCTCATAAGGTGATAGAGATCTCCCAAATTCTGTGGGTTTTTTTGTTGTTTTTTTTTTTTTTTTTTTTTTTTTTGTGTGTTAACATAGACTTTTCTCATGCATGTAAGTTTTAACAAATATTGCCACCACAATACCATTCTGAGATCCAAGAAGGAAGTAAGCAGAGGCCGCATCTTGTTCATCTTCTATGTGTTGAAGTATGGGGAGAAAAGAAGGGTGCCTCACAGCCCAAGTATGGCAGTCCGAACTATTTCAAAAGCAGTTTGACAGACTCATCTTAGCTGTGTGCATTTCTCAGTGGATGGGTGCATCCTTAGTAAGAACAGGCTATGATGAAATGGGAGTCAGAAATGAGTTAGCCAGATACCACGGTGCTTGAATGAACACTAACTCTTCACAGATCACCTCAGGCTTCTCTAGATTGTTTTTATGTTGGTTTGCAAATACTGAAGCATTGTTCAAGAAACCACGAATCCTTCGGGTTCATGATTGAAGAGGGCAGCCTAAAATCAGATTTAATGACAAGAAATTCTGATTGGAGTTTTTGTAACTTTACTCATCCAAAATTAGCATATCTCTAGTTTTGTAAAGTAGCCACAATTTGTTTTTTAGAAGTAACATGTTTCTGCCAGAATAGTTCTTGAAATCTTGATTAGAAATTGTGACCTCTGTGTTTAACAGTTAAAAATCACCCCAAGTATGAAAGCTGCAAAATAAGGATTTTCAGTATTTTTCTTTCTATGATAATCTTTCTATTCATCCTTGTGTGCTTTACCGAGGAAGACTTTTACATGGTTAGTTAACAGTGTTTTCTGCATTCTGTTTTCTGCTATCTTCCTCTTATTTCAGCATTTGTTTTTATTTTTCATACCGTCTTTAACAGTTTTGACTATTTGTCTTCATAAATTCATCAGGTCTTCCCATTTCCTTTCATTTTCTGTAAACTGGTTGCCTTTTTCCAGCAAACCTTGCAGAAATACTAAATATATTGCAGGAATGTCCTCTTTCTCTGTAACTTTTTAACATGTATTTAACTAACCCACTTGATTTATTTAGCTGTCTGTATGCTGACATAAGCATGATTTTTGTTTCCAGTAAATGAAAGAAAAACACATCCATCCATATGGTATTAGACTGAAAAACAGCCTAGGTCTACAACGGTTCTGGACATTTAGTAGTTTTAAGTACTTAATTTAGCATTTTTATTATATTTCATCACTTGGGAAATGAATACAGGCTTTTTATCCATTCAGTAGTCCTTTTCACTTGGGTTATTTGTTCAGGTGGGATTTTTGCTGATTTCTTTTTCTTAGTGTAATGTTGGGTTTTCTATTAGAGGCTTTGGCTGAAATGTTGAACTGGTGTTTTTGCTGTGAATTGCTGCGTGGTCCTTGAAAAATCACTGTAATACAATCCAGTGAACTGCTAGGATTGGTTAAAAAAAAAATAAAAAAGTAAAACCTGCTTACCAGTAAATGTGAAGGGATACTTCTCTGCTTACTGTATGTTGATGTTTTTTTTAGATGAAGTAAGTTTTGGAAGTCCCATGTAAAGCCTGTGGGATAAGGTTTTGAGGTCATCAGAGGTCTTTGCAAGGTCGGAAGCAGTAAATTAATGGCTTTCAACCTGAGGTCTGTGGTCTGCTTCTGGGGAGTCCAGATGTAATTTAATAGGCAGGTCTACTGTCAGTAGGTTTGTATTTGATACTGTAGTCTTGTCTTTCCATTGGAAAATTTTACTGTGTCTTAAACATCTGAGAGTTACTGAACTAAAAAGTACTGGTTTAGGTACGATATTATGGGCTAATGGGAATGAGTTTGTCAAAGGAATGGATTTTTCTTGTCTTTCTCTTGTCCCTTGCATTGGGCTGCTGAGCCTTGAACCTTTCCTTTATAACAATGTATGAGTCTCTGCCTCTTCTTGTAAGCACACAACTTCGTATCTCCCTGTGAGGGCAGGTGCATTCTAATCAATTCTAGCTTTGAAAATGGAAATGTGTGAAGAGCACAGGGAACGAAATACAAAACCACTTGAGCATCAGTGTAAGTTCTGGGAGAGAAATGTGCGGTGTGGGGTAAAATCAAAATGCAAGGGGCCTTCTCTGTCACCATTCCTCTAGCCACCTAAAATTTTATGTCTTTTTTTTTTTTTTTTTTTTGTCCCCTGGCACTATGTAGCTCTTTTTGTAAGTGTACCTTTTCTTTTTTTCCCATGTTTTTTCCTCAAGCTTTTAGAATGCACACACAATTTGAAATAATTTATATGTCCAAATGTGCCATTCTTTAAATTGTCTACAGGGCTCCTCATCTGTGTCCCCGTATTTATTATTGCTTCTTCCTTTTCTTCTGCACATGTAGAAGCCAGATTTATACTCTGACTACCTGCATGCTTAATTCATAACTAAGTTTACCAATCAAACACCAATTAAGGTTATTTGCAAACACAGATCTCACACTGAAGCAATTTTACAAAGATTCTGAGCATGAACAGAACAAGTAATGTTCATGATGCGTGAATACCAATGTTATTTATGATGGGGATGGTAGGATCTCGTGTTGAAATACAAATAAACCCAAGCCCTTCCAAGTGAGGACATTACCAACTCAAAAGGAAACTGCATTTATCACCCTGAGAAGCTGAAGAAATAGTTTCTAATATGAACACAGTTGCTGGTTTCAGCAGCTGGCTCACCATGAGTTAAGTATAGCATAGGTCAGATCCATATTGATTTAACAAATGGTTTAAGTTTCTTAGAATTGCTCACTCTTTTCTTGTAAACCTCCTGGACAAACCATCTAAATCAGGTTGTTTGCTCATTCTAATAAAAATCCTGATCAAACAGCACACTTCTGAGGTTTATTTGTCTGCTGCATGAAAATTAGATAGTCTTGAGCACTCTTCCAGGAAACATGGAGACTTGCATACTGGATCTTTAATGAGGATTTGTCTGATCTTATACGTCCTGTAGCAAGTCTTGTGCAGTTCCCATGTGCTCTTCCCCTGCGTTACATGAGGGACACTCCAGCTGCTGCTCCCTGTGCCTCGTGGTGATGGGAATCCCACTGACCCTGCCTGTGGGGTTCCTGCCTGCCGTGGTGCCTCTGGGCCCTTTGGCAGGGTGCTGGGATGGGAGTGGGCAGGGGGTTATTTGGGCTGTCCCCATTGCCATTCTGTGCTCCTCTGTGGGTGTGTGGGTGAGCTTTTGCCACACAACCTAACATAACCTAAGTTTTGGTCCTTACAGCACAATTTCTATCATAAAAATATCACAATATATTGACATAATGAAAATGTAAGTATAATCACTGGTACTCTGGCAATAGACAAAGCCAAAGGTTACTGAATGGAAGTTTCTAGGTTGGAGAAAGAGACACAAGTGCCTTCTCCCTTTGGTAAGCATGCATTGTTCCTATTAACTGTGAGGGAAATTGTATGCATTTAAAAATATCAAAAAGAAAAATAAGGTAGTTGGAGTGCATTGCATTCACCCCTGCTGTAAAACGTGATGCTAACGCAGCAGTATTCAATTTCAAACTGCTACTGAATAGTAAATTTCACAGCACTTTGTAGGGTTGGCTGGTATTGTCTTCACCCTATACAACTGCAAAAACTGAAGCAAAGAGCTGAATTGTTCAGGACCATGGTGAAGACTTGTAAGTCTGCAATGGCTTGTCTGCATCTCCACATCTTCAGCTAAAATAATTCTTTTTTTGGCTGAATGGTTGCAGTACCTGTGCATTCTGATAACTAATGTAGGCAGAGATACAAAGGTCGGATGATCACACCTGCCATTTGGTGCTGCCTTCTTACTGATGACCCGTAAGACATGGCACCTGCAGTGGTTGTGTCTGTCACGTTCCTGATTTTGATTTTACATTCCTCAATCTTATGTTTTTTATAGCCTTTGCTACATCAAATAGCTCTTATGATTTGATGTCTCCTGGTTACTAGCTTTTAACTGCATTTGGATCCTTCTGTCACTGTTTATAGATGCAACTTCATAATAAAACTTCTAATTTATTTTTTAAGTGTATGACTTGACCAAGATGTAAAACATAATGAGTATTGTCTCACATAACTTATGAGAGTCAGTCTGGTTCTTCTGTATATTGATCATTTCCATTTTTTATGACAGAAAAGTTCAAACCACCATTGTTAACTATGCTGTATTGCAGACAATTTGTATTTATTGTGACCTTCTTATTGTATTGTTTTACTTACCTTATTTATTTATTTTAGCCTGAATTGTCTGTGTGTTAATGCTTTGTTGACATGTCACTAAATCAGCATAAATAAGATTTTTCTCTTCAGAAACTCATAGGATTGACCCATCATGGTCTGCATTTGTAAGCTCACATGTTCTCATTTCAAACTCTTATTTTTTATTTGTAATTATTCATAGATAAAAATGAGATGAACTCAAAGAACTGTTTTTCTTAGGCCTCAATGACTTCCTTTTATCAAGATGTCATGTAAAACAGAATTAAAAACTTTTCTGTTCACAAGAATTGGCTGCAGCTCTTGCTGTTATAACTCACTGTTCTTGGAAGCCCAAACTCATTTCACCCTGAGATTACCAGTGGTTTAAAGTACAGCTACTGTCTTGATCTTTTATTTCAGAACCTATTTGACAGTGATAAGGTTAACCAACTCAAAACCAGCAATGTTATGTGATCTATTTGTCTGTTTGGAAAACAGACTGCTGAAATTGCTGGTGTCTTCCTAGGCTAGTTGGTTTGGCTAACTTTTCTAAAGTAAGAGTCAAAACTTGACGTTTATCCTCTCTAAACATGAACAACCCCAAGACAAAATACTGCTTTCTGTATCATATACAGGAAAATCCACATTGAATGATGCATGAACAAATACACTACTTTCACCATGGTAATCAAAGCTCTTTATCTACCAGTTAAGTAAATATAATTAAAGGTTATTAGTCCAGCAGCAAAACAGTAAACACCATTGCTGGTTTCTGTCTCTTATCACCAAATCACGAAAAGCAATCACGAAATCAGACCAGTCTTGCAAAATAAAAAAAAAAAATCTCAGAATGAGTATACAGAAAAGGCTGCTTGAGACAGTTTTATGCACAGCAACTGTTTTCTGTAACCTAAGTTATTGAAAGATCAAGTGACAGCCCTTCCCCAGCCCCCAAACTGAAAGATTTCCCTGCACCACCTTATTCAGAAGGCTACTTTGCTCCAGTATGTTGATACACGTTATGCAGACCACTAGAATTAAAACAAACAAACAAAAGCTGCTAGGGAAAATAGTGGGTTTGCTGCTCAGTCCCACCGATTAGGTAATGTTACTCAGCCATAGTAAGGCTTGGATGTTCTGCATTCACTTCTGTCATGCTACATTGATGGTACAGCAAGAGCCATAAGATCAGATAAAAATCAATACACTTTTTCAGCGAAGGCTGAGAAGAGAGTGAACAACCCAGAAAGACCAACTGAATTGAAAAACAATTAAATCTGCCTCTGAGAAGGAAGAAGCCTATGCTACCTGCTTTCAAAATGCTTATTGGAAAGTAATAGAGAAGAAATGTGCAGCCCTTGATTTAAATTGTTTTCCTTATTATGGAGTTGTTAAACCATCTATTATATCCATAGGCATTAGGGAGTATCTATTCACTAGACAGCTTTAATAGTAACAGATTATGCTGATAAAAACTATTTGAAAAATCACTTGTCCTGCAGTTTGCATTAAAAAGAAAGATGAGATCCCTTCATTAAGGGTGAAAATAATGTAGGAAATTGATTTAAACAAGAACAACAACAAAAAACAAGCAAACAGAACACTGCCTACCGCCATGTAGTTTTGCTATAAAGAAAGCTGTTGTTTTTCTGAGCGATTGTGTAACAGAGCTTTAATTTTCAATGATCAAATGTCTGTGCTGCAAATGCCAGCTTTTTAATATGTTTGTATGGATAGTCTGCTAGAATAGATTACAATCCATATCTCTTAGGTTTGTTTATCCCACAGAGCACTGTGAATTTATACCAGTCAGTCTCAGTAAAAATGTGCTTCCTCCTGTGTTGTGGGCCAGGTGTGTTATTGGTGCGTGGTGCCATTAGACACCAAAGATTTCAGAAACAGGTTTCAGCTCATATATTTCATAATGCAGAAGGTAGTGAGATGTAAAAAACTATAGCATAAATGTACTTGCACTTTAAGAAAAACTTTATACCATCTGATTTTAAAATAAAATGTTTCATATCCTGAACACGTTCCATGAATAATCTGTTGATATTTGGTTGATATATTTACAGGGGACTTGTAAGTTGCACAACCTGCAAAGACCATAATCCTTGTTCTACTTCTTTCAGATTGTTCTTGCTATTCTCAATTGCCTTCCACTCTGGATCAAATTCTGTTACTTGCTCTCCAGACAGAAGTCAAACTTTCACCTGTATATCAGCGGTGTCCTGTCTACCACTGGCCTATCTGCAACCCTCATCCACCCACCTACTTTCCCTCCCCACCCTTTCTAGGTGGTAGGTTTATGGAGTTTTAGTTAAACTAGTAGAGTCTTGAGATATTATTTCTATGTTAGAAACGTTTACTTAAATCATAGTCTGGAAGATATAAATAGGAGGATTTACTTTGGTGCCTTCACCAAATATATTAATTTATATTTTAAAGAAGACATTCCTGAATAGAGAAGCCCCGTATGTTTTGTTTTGTTTTGTTTTCTTTTGTTTTTCCAAAGTGCAGGATTGAAGAGAACAAACAAAAACCTGCAAAAGTAGATTGTATCTTCCAGAGACAAAGTTAGGAAGACCTCTCAATGCCTACTGGAATGAATGTTGCAAATACAGTCCAGGCTGCAGATGCTGGTTGCCTCAACTAAAGAATGGGGAGGAGAAAAGGGGGGAAAATAGAGTCTGAAAAATGAGAGGATGAGTATCCTGAATGTTACTAAACCAGATGTCCATCAGAAATATGCAGAAAATAAGGAAATGTTCAATATACAAGCTTCAGTGAATGCTATTCATGTTAGCACTGCTTTTTCTTACAGTCTTGCTCTCCTGGGTATGTAGATTGAATAGGAGCCATCTGCCAAAGTTCTGGCAAGGTGGAGTTTGTCCCTTTGCCAGAGGTCTGAGCTGTACCTGTGTGTTGGCAGAGCCCCAGCTGGAGCAGCTGAAAGCCTCAGTTCAATGCACATCTGGCAAGTGAGGACAACCTGGAGGCTCACCCAGGGGAGTTTTCACGTGGGCTTCTGTCTCTACTGGAAGGATCAGGTTCTTTTAATTGCTGTCTCCTGGTATTTTCTGGAACAAACTGGGTAAGTGCGTGCCAGCAGGCCAAATCCCAATGTGAGAGCTAGTTACAAGGGTTGAAATATTACTAGGCATGAAGAGAAGGTGTATCCTCTGAAGTGAATGCTGCAGAGGCTGCTAACAATGACACATAAAAGAAAAGTGAGATAATTTTCTTGCTGTTGGCAAGACATTAATAGCTGGTAGTGCTCTTGTGACTTACAAAGGAGAATTAACTTTCTATCTCCTAAAAAAAAAAGTCTAGATGGAGTGAGTAAAGATATTAATTAGCCTTTGCTAGCGATAAATCTCTCTGAAGTGTAATTGGTCTGCACCTACTACACTTTTATACTTGCTGGCTCTTGGCTGATGGAATGGTTCCTTGGCCTTTGGCCTATGGAAAATGAAGCTGATTGCAGTGCCAAGGCTGCAGACAGCTTCTGCAGGTGGAGATTTATATGATCATAGACAATTATGCTGAATCCTACACTTGGAATGTCTCAAATTACTCTTGTAGAATTTGATGAAACTGTAGCAAAAACAAGACCTAAATTACAAAACAAAACCCTGG